ATGTTCAGCTTCAGCATTAGTCCTTGGAGTGAATATTCAGGACTGATTTCCTTTAGGATGGACTGGTTGGATCTCCTTGCAGTCCAAGAGACTCTCGAGAGTCTTCTCCAACACCACAGTTCAAAAGCATTAATTCTTCGGCACCCAGCTTTCTTTATGGTCCAAATCTCACATCTGTACATGACTACTTTAAAAAACCAAAGCTTTAATTAGATGAATCTTTGTTGTCAAAGTAATGTCTTGGCTTTTAAATATGATGTCTAGGTTGGTCATAGCTTTTCTTCCAAGGAGCAAGCATCTTTTAATTTCATGGCTGCAGTCACCATCTGCAGTGGTTTTGGAGCCCAAGAAAATGAAGGCTCTCAGTGTTTCCAATGTTTACCCATCTATTTGCCATGTAATGATGGGACTGGATGCTATGATCTTTGTGTTTTGAATGTTGAGTTTTACGCCAGCTTTCTCATTCTTCTTTTTCACTTTCATCAATAGACTCTTTAGTTCCTCTTTCCTTTCTGCCATAAGGGTGGTGTCATCTGCATATCTGAGGTTGTTGATATTTCCCCAGGCAGTCTTGATCCAGCTTGTTCTTTGTCCAGCCCGGCATTTCGTATGATGTATTCTGCACGTAAGTTAAATAAGCAATGTGACAAAATACAGCCTTGACATACTCCTTTCCCAATTTGGAACCAGTCTGTTGTTTCATGTCTGGTTCTAACTGTTGCTTCTTGACCTGCATACAGATTTCTCAAGAGGCAGGTCAGGTGGTCTGGTATTCCCATCTCTTTCAGAATTTTCCACAGTTTGTTGTGATCCACACAGTCAAAGGCTTTGGCATAGTCAGTGAAGCGGAAGTGGATGTTTTTCTGGAATTTTCTTGCTTTTTCAGTGATCCAACAGATGTTGGCAATTTGATCTCTGGTTCTTCTGCCTTTTCTAAGTCCAGCTTGATCATCTGGAAGTTCATGGTTCACGTACTGTTGAAGCCTGGCTTGGAAAATTTTGTGCATTACTTTGCTCACCTGTGAAATGAGTGCAATTGTGGGGTAGTTTGAACATTCTTTGGCATTGCCTTTGTTTGGGATTAGAATGAAAACTGACCTTTTCCAGTCCTGTGGCCACTGCTGAGTTTTGGTTTAGTTCAGAAAATGCTACATTTTAAAAACATTATATTCATTCAGAAACAAAGTAAATAAAAACATTATATTCCGATAAAGTAGTTGTTGAAATATGCATTTTTTATTATTTGAATTGACTCAGTTGAGGAAAAGGGAGGAATTCTGTAATTTAGTAAATCAATAATCAGACTTGCTAAGACTTTCAGCACGAGTGCATTTTGAGTTTTTACTTCTTATGAGACCTTCATAAAGACTCTGCATGATGGCAATACAGGGGAGAGGGTCCCCTCAGCTGAAGTTGATTCCTGGAAGGTCCAGGGCAGAGGTGGACGGGTGAGCCACCTTCACGGGTGGAGGACAGGGCGGCTGAGGCCAAGAAGACCTGTGGTGAGACACCACACCTGAGCGTGGTGTCTGAGTGAGCATCGCAGGGTCTAGCGATCCCATTCACTTATTCAGTGTGCAGTGAATTCCACTGATTTCCCTGCCACCCCGAAACCTTTCAGAAATGGAAAGGCCACGCCTACCGCATCCCCCGGGTGGTACTAGAGGAGTCAGTGGCAAGACTGGCACCTGGAGGGAGGTACCAGCCCCTGCCTGACCTGAGCGCTTGGCCTGGAGTTGTGCAGCGAGCAGCCTGTGCGGCGGCCTGGGGTCATGGGGGCTAATGGCAGGGCTTCAGCTCCCGGCCCGAGAGAGCCGAGAAGCTGTCCAGGGGCTTGAGGGCAGGAGTAGTGACTGGGTGACAAGCTTTATCGTGGTCACCAAGGTGCTGTGCTGGGAGTTGCCTGGGGGAGATAAGACAGGACCGGGGAGCCCGCTGGGAAGTCATGCCAGGGTCCAGCAGGACAGTCACAGAGGTTGTGTCCACCTTTCTGCACCCCAGCCGCCCTCGTTTCCCTCCTGGCCGCTTCAGAGACACACCGAGCACATTCCTGCCCCAGGGCCCTTGCACCTGCCGCCCCTGCCAGGGAGCTACTCCAGGCGCACCCCTGACCTGCTTCCTCTATGCCTTCACGTCCTTGCTGGGACGTTGTCTTCCCGCGAGGCTTCCCGGGCAGCGTCCATCTTAGCCTCCCTCATGCTCCATTCCCCCTTTCCACTTCAGGGCTTCCTCCCTGGCGTGTGCCACCCTGCTGTCCCTCGTTCGTTTGGGTGTACAGTCTGCGTCTCCCCCCTTGTGACAGGTCAGGTTCTGGGCCTGCAACAGCCGGCTCCCAGGCCGTGTGGGGCCGCGTGAACGGATGAGCGTGCGGAGCACCTCGTGAGCCCCTGACCCCTGACTGCTCACACTCAGGGAAAGAGGGGCCCCTTGACCGGAGGGAGGGGGGCCGGGACCTTTGAGACACAGTGACGTCCTGTCAGGAGAGCAGTGCCTGAAAGAACCTGGTGAGACCGGGGGGAGGTGGGAACGTGGGCTGGGGTGAGATGGGAAGGGCATGTGTATGGATTAGAGCGTAAGACGAGAACCTTAGTGAAATGAGGATTTCCAAAGGGAGCCTTAGTACATATTTGCTCAGCTGTTAAATGCTGAGTTAAAAAACCTTATTTTAAGAGTTCGTGTTGGCCTGTGCTGTACAAACAGTGGAGTAAGGTGGCGGGTTACAGTGTTCTTTCATGACTTCAAAGATGGTATTAGTTAAGGAGGGCATTAGAAATGCTTTCTCTGAGCTGTGGTTTCTGCTGAGCGCTCTCTGTACACATGTCTTGTGGTGTCTGCCTTAGGAGGCTGTTTCCTTCCTGTAAGTGAGGGGCTTAAATTACAGTATTAAAGTTTTACTATTTGTGATATTGTATTGAAAGACTTCCCTTAGAAGAATATCTGCTTACTTTTCTGTGTGGAAATTGATTAAAAATCCTGTGAGGCTAAATGTTCCTATTTCTAAGGTGCAAAATCATTAAGATAAGCACTGTTGCTTCCCTTGAAATGAGATGGAAAGAATCCATGTGTTGGTAATTTCACTTATTTCTCTATTTTTGTTTTTTTCCACCACTCTGACAGTGGGACGAGCATAGGTGATAATAGACCAAAGCCAAGAGTGCCTGTTAGCTAAATTTAAACTCTCAGGATAACTCTGAAGAGCCGCTTGGGTTGGAAATCATAGGTTCATGTGACATTCTGATGCTCGTAAAACTCTAGTTAGCGAACAGTCTTATTTCCAGAAAGCCAGCCAGTTACCGCTGGAGAAGGTAGCTGAGAACATGGCCAGCGGGGCACGCCCTCTCCTCTGCCTATGTCATAGTTATGAAGACTTTAAGGAAATATTTTCTTCTAGAGCTTCTGTATGTTTTAGCCCTTAAATCTATGACCCGTATTGAATTCAGTTGTGTGTGTGAAGTAAGGTAGTTAGTATGTGTTCATTTCCCCTCCATGGATATTAATTATTCACCATCATTTGTTGAAAAAGACTGTTCTTTTCCTATTGAAGCATCTTGGCAACTTTGTCCAAAATCATTTAACCATGTATACACAGCACTGTTTTATGTAAATGAATGAATGAATCTTACATGCTATGCCTTTGCAAGCGACTGAAGATCTTGCAGTGCTTCTGAAATATCATAATGAACATTCATTTTTTATACTCTCATGAATTAATTTGTAAATTAAAAAATCCATTACAGAGATATGACTGGTAATTGCAGTAACTGGCCCATGACTGTATCCTGGACTGGAGTTAAAAATGCTAGAAAGTATTAATGGAACAGGTGACAGAATTGCAGTCACAGTAATAGGTTAAAGTTATATTAGTGTAAATTTATGAGGTTAAGAATTGTACTGTGAGGCTTATTCTACAAGCCAATGCCCCAAATAACCAAGAATGCTTTTAAACTGTGGTTCTTCATAGCTCACAGGTAGGCAGTGTGTGTGAAGGTGTTAGCAGGAGTCTCTTCTAGAAGACGGAGGCCGTGGTGCTCTGTGACGCCCTGGCAGGGTGGGATGGGGTGGGAAGCTCAGGAGGAGGGGGTGTGTATATACTCACGGCGGATTCACAGTGTCATACAGTGGCAGCCAGCACAACACTGCAGGGCAATTATCTTCCAATTAAAAATTAAAAAAAACAGATGGCGATCAGAAGACCCTTGTTTCACTCTGTTAAGGTTGCCGTCCGACCCGTCCTGGGCTTGGTCCTGGTGCTCTCAGCTCCCGGCCGTGTTGAGGGGGGCGGCAGTGATGAGGGGTGACCCCTGGGTGCAGTGTTGGTGGGTGGCCCCCTGACTCTTGACAGGAACCAAGCCCCCTCCTGTTGTTTCTGAGTGATTTTGCCACAGATGACCAGGTGTGGCAGTGGTCACTGGTGACACTGATGTCGGGGCAGGATGTTGTCAGAAAGATGCAGATTTGCGATTTGTCAAGAGAAGCCAGAGGCCTGTGGGGAGGGGGTGGGTAGATAATGCCCCCTTGAGAAGTGGAACAGGCAGCATGATTTTACTTGGTTATGGTGGAGGAAAAGCACCAAGAGAGAATTTGTGACGCAGGAGAAAAACTCAGTTTATGCTTTAAAAAAAAAATTTATGTATTTATTTGGCTACGACGGGTCTTAGTTGCAACATGCGGGGTCTTTGTTGCAAGCCTGTGGGGTGTTTGGCCCTGGCCCACTGACTCGGTAGTTATGGCACGGACTTAGTTGCCCCAAGGCACGCGGGCTCTTCTTTCCCCCACCAGGGATTGAACCTGTATCCCTTCCATTGCAAGGTGGATTCTTAACCACTGGACCGCCAGGGAAGCCCCGATTTATACTTCTTCCTTGATAGTGCTAACTTTGCCTCAGTGATTAGCTTCTCATGTAGGTTGATGTGTGTCAGTCAGACGATTGAAGGGTGGGTGGGGAGTGTGTTGCGGGCAGGTGATTTCACGTGAGGAAACCTCTGTTTTGTGTCTTTTAGAATGTCGTTCTTTCGGGAGGCTCCACGATGTTCAGGGATTTCGGACGTCGCCTGCAGAGAGACTTAAAGAGGGTGGTGGACGCCAGGCTGAAGCTTAGCGAGGAGCTCAGCGGTGGCAGGATAAAGGTGAGGCCTCCGGGTGGCCGGGTGGGGCTGGACATCCCACTGGTTTGGGCCGTAAGGGGTAAACACGAGCTGGAGCCACTTTCTTAGCCTCACTGTGAAGTTACAGTCAGAGGTCTGTTGCCTGGACTTCCTCCAGGTGTGCAGTTAGGACAGGTGTGGACCTCCCGATGCAGCAACGCAACTCTCCCCAGCCCGCCCCCCCAACCCCCTACGCCTGCCAGCAGTTTCTTCCCTGTTGTCAGAGATCAGGCGTGTCCTGTAATGACCAGTACCCCAAGGAGGTGGATCACTTTTCATTGAGGAACTCTAATGTCCTTTGGAACGTTCTGATTAAGCTCTCATCACTGGTATGAGCAGGGCAGTCCACTGTTTTCCTTAAGATTCTAACCTTTAACCAGCTGGTGGATTTACAGGGTTGGGTTGGTATGGGGCCCATGGGAGCAAAACCACATGTTCTCCCCTCCTGGGATCACCCCCAGGTGGTGTCCTTTCTTAGAGTATTTTTGGGACACTTAAGTGTTACTTCCCCATGGCTTCCCTGATACCTCAGTTGGTAAGGAGTCCACCTGCAATGCAGAGACCTCAGTTTGATTCCTGGATCAGGAAGATCTGCTGGAGAAGGGATAGGCTACCCACTCCAGTATTCTTGGGCTTCCCTTGTGGTTCAGCTGGTAAAGAATCCACCTGCAATGTGGGAGACCTGGATTTGATGCCTGGGTTGGGAAGATCCCCTGGAGAAGGGAAAGGCTACCCACTCCAGTATACTGGCCTGGAGAATTCCATGGACCCTGTAGTCCATGGGGTCGCAAAGAGTCAGACAAGACTGAGTGACTTTCACTTTCACTTGGGCTTCTCATGTAGCTCAGTTGGTAAAGAATCTGTGTGCAGTGTTGGAGACCTGGGTTCCATCCCTGGATTGAGAAGATCCCCTGGAGAAGGAAATGGCAACCCACTCCAGTATTCTTGCCTGGGGAATCCCATGGACAGAGGAGCTTGGCGGGCTACGGTCCACGGGGTCGTTAAGGGTCGGACATCAGTTAGCACTATCTTTCTTAAGTGTTACTTAGAATTATCTGTAGATGTGAAAACAATTTGTTTAGTTTAAAAAAACAAGCTGGGCTAGTTGCATGGAGTGTCTGCATCTTAAAAATGCCTTTAAATGGAGGTGGCCTGCCCTTGCCTTGTGTCTTTTGTTGTCTGCGCCACCTGGGCTGGGCTGGGGGTCGGTGGGCTTGGCAGTGGCGGGGCTGAGCACTTCCTTTCAGGGTGGAGGCTTTGAGCCTGAAGGTGGGGCCTGCGGGGTGGGAGGAGGGTCCCAGGTGGGAAGGCTTCAGGGTGCCCTCTGCACAGTCAGCCAGCTCGCATCATTTCCCTTGCAGCCGAAGCCTGTGGAGGTCCAGGTGATAACGCACCACATGCAGCGCTACGCCGTGTGGTTCGGAGGCTCCATGCTGGCCTCAACTGTGAGTCCTTTCTTGGATTGTGCTGTCTTTTCATCTCTGTTTTCTGTTGAGTTTGCATTAATACTCTCTTACCGGAGATGAAATGGTGTGTGCTGTAATTGTGTGTGGCTCTAAACAGCCCCACATTTAATTCTGAGATAGAAAAAATACTTTAATGACCATTAGCAGTGCAAATTAGTGCCACTAATTCATAAATATCCTTGCAAATTAGGGGTTACAGATATTTTAGATACGTGAATCCGAAAATAACCTCTAATGTCGCCGTGATCATTAATTCCAGAAATTTTTTCTGAGTAATTACTGCTTTTTCTCCTCAAACTTGTGACTAGCTAACAAATTGCTAATTTTGGTTGAGCAAGCACATAGTTCTTCTTAAACAGAAGCTCAGACTGAGCGCCTGAGCACGAGGGCAAGTTTTTTAAAAAACGAAATAAAACTCCCGTCTGGCAGTGCAGGCTCACAAAGACCGCGGCCGCCGTGGGGGTGAGGGTGGCGGTTCGGGCGAGGGGCTGTCTCCTCTGCTTGGTCGTCTGTCTGATGCTATTCCCTCTCCGGCACGCGTGCGCGCTCCTCCTGCAGCCGGAGTTCTTGCAGGTCTGCCACAGCAAGAAGGACTACGAGGAGTGCGGCCCGAGCATCTGCCGCCACAACCCCGTCTTCGGGGTCATGTCTTAGTGGCGGCTTGGGCGCCGCCCCCGCAGTGGTGTCGTCGGAGCGCAAGTGTCCTTCAGACCCGGAGTCGACGGGCCCTGTACATAGACCGCGAGCGTGGTGTCCCAGTGCATGCGGCGCCGCCCGCCGGACAGCTCGCCAAGCCATCTGCGCGCCCGCCCCGCCCATTTCCCCGCCCTCGCCCCGCCCCCTCGCCCTGCCCCATTTCCAACCCCGCACTGCCTCTCACCTTGCCCATCTCCCTCTATGCCCTCACCCCGCCCCTCACCTCTCCATGCCCCCGCCCATCTCCCCGCCTCACAGCCCGCCCTCGTCCCGGCTCCACCCCATCCTCCTCTCTGCCCCCTCCCGCCCTTGCTCCCCGCCCCTCACCCCACCCCGCCCCTCACAGAACTCTGCCCCCTCACCCCGCCCCACCCGTTGCCCCGCCCCATTCCGCCCTCGCCCCGCCCCCGCCCCTCACACAGCTCTGCCCTCTCGGCCCGCCCTTTGGCCCGCCCCTCGCCCTCCTCTCCACCCGAGCTTCTAGTCCACAGTTGGGTTCTGGAGTTCAGCTGCGGCTCTTAAGAATAATAGATAGGGAAAACCCTAGAACGTGACAATAGCCCCCCCCCGCCCCCCGCCCGCCCAGGACAGAGTATGGGACTGTAAAGCCTCTTCCTCCCAGACTATTTTTGTAAATAAAATGTTATAAACTTGAAATACTAAATCGATGTTTATATTTCCTATCATTTTGTATTTTACGGTTCTTTGGTACAACTGGCTTGACTGCGAGCACGCGTAGATGTCGGTGTCATGGGGTGTTGTCATAAAGCGTTTCTAATCGTGAGGCATGTTCTGATGTGTTTGTAGGCGAGCAGAATAAATCAGAGCAAAACGTTTTGCCACATGTTTGCTAGAAAACGACTACATTTGATTGAGCGACATGAAATTTAACCACTAAGCAGTATTGTATGAGAATCATCACAGACAATGTATCTTTTCCTTTTCCTGTGTGAGCTTTCTGGAACTGTTTTATAGAAGACGCCAGTGTGCTGTTGGTGAGCGTTGGATGAAATACTACCTTGCACTATTGTAATAAAAGCACTTAGACTCTTTATAAAGATCTCCTGTGGTGCTGTGGTGGTCTTTGGGTTTTCCCCTTGGTGCCTGCGCTTCTTTCAAAGAGTATCGAAATTTGTTTCACATCAGCGGAGGCTTTGATGATAACACAAAGTTTGGGGAGGAAGTTTCCTGAAAGGGTGTGGAATGCCTGTGATGCAGGGACCATTCCATCATTCAAAGTGGTGTGGATGGTGCTGGATGAACTTGTGTGCATGTGGGGGGTGGGTGTCCCTGGTGGTTTCCACCATCCCTTCCCAGGAATTCAGAATGCATGGCTTTAAGACTGGAGCAACTACTCTTGACATCTGCTGAGTAGATTGCTGGCTTAAAAGATAATTTGCTAAATTAAGGGATTTAGTTTTAGCCCATTCTTCATATAATACTTATGTTCCTGTTTAAACTGTTATTTTATGGCATTTCTTCTAAGTCACGAAGTATTTTTTTTCTCTAAAGATCTGAATTTGTAAAGAAGCATTTGGTTTTATTATTTAAGGTTAAGAAGACATTGGGGATAATAAAGGAATCTTTGTGCTCAGTATGGTAAAATCTGGGTTTCCTGGGATGTAGGTGGTTCCTGTCACTTGTTCCCAATGGTCAGTGACCCCAGGCCCTTCAGCGGAGGGCCTCAGGCCACTTGGTTCTTCGTTTGTCCGGACAGTTTCTCCACTTTCCCTCTGGGGTTTGCTCTGCTCAGGGTCGCAGGACTGCTGTTTGAATCTTCCAGCCACACTTTATCACAAGTCTGGGTGGGTGTGTCTCCTTCAGCACCCCCAGCCATGTGACAAACAGCAGACTGGCGGGATCACCTCCCCTAACACTGCTTCTGCTTCTGCTCAGAGACCATGGGGGCCTCCCCTGGCCCATCTCCGTATCAGCTGGTGTCTGCACATGTGGGGCCTTTGCCTCCCCACCCTCCCGGTCTCTGTGCTCTCGCAGTGAACATGCCATGCCTCCTCCCTCCTTCCAAGTCCCACCTTGCTTTGACTTGGCCAGGTGCCAAGTAGACTGGAGTTATTACCATTTTTTGTTTCTTCAATCAACCTGCCAGAGGCCATATGTCAAAGTGAAAGTGAAAGTCACTCAGTTGTATACAAATCTTTGTGACCCCATGGACTATATACAGTCCATGGAATTCTCCAGGTCAGAATACTGGAGTGGGTTCCTTCTCCAGGGGATCTTCCCAACCCAGGGATCACCCAGGTCTCCTGCACTGCAAGTGGATTTACCAGCTGAGCACCTGCAATGTGCATTGGTCATTCTATAAGGAGGATAAATGCTTAGAGTTATGGTGGTAATTTTAAGAAAGTCTACAAGTACCTTTTCAGATTGAATTAGTACAAGATCATAATATCCTGAGTTAGGTATTATTGGTTGATGGGTAAAATCAGCCTTCTATGATGAAAATGCCTTGTAGCTCTCAGTGAACAGTTTTCTATAAAAAAAATTTCAATGAACTCACACTTTGACAGAACATATTGTAAAATGTCAATAGTTTTTTTTAAAACAACGATTAAGCTTTTAGATAGAATAAGAAATCGTGTTACCCTTTTTGACAGATGTAGACGTAATCTCAACTTTATCATGATAAGCATATTATTGGGATGCTTTACTTAAAATTTGGTAACTGATGTGTGAGCATGCCCCCTCTAATCCAAACCCCTTGGTATGTAATGTGTGCTAGAGAGCTGCTGATCTAGGATGTTTAGATGTTAAATTATTTTCATTTTCGTTCATAAGGCTTTGTGAATATATATTTTTTCATGTGCTTTGACTGGATTGTATAAGGCAAATAAGATAAAAGAGCGATAATGGGACCATGATAAGTGTTCAGTAAATTTTAGCCTTTGTTATTGTTATAAAGCAAATATTGTGTCTTGAGACATCATATTGTTGTTCAGTCGCTGAGTCGTGTCTGACTGTTTTCGACCCCATGGACTGCAGCACGCCAGACTCCTCTGTCTTCCACTGTCTCCCGGGGTTTGCTCAAATTCATGTCCATTGAGTCAGTGATGCTATCTAACCATCCATCCTCTGCCCCGTTCTCCTTTTGCTTCAGCCTTTCCCAGCATCAGGGTTTTTTCCAATGAGTCAGTTCTTCACATCAGGTGACAAGTATTGAAGCTTCAGCTTGAGTCCTTCCAGTCAATATTCAGAGTTGATTTCCTTTAGGATTGACTAGTTTGATCTCCTTGCTGGCCAAGATACTCTCAAGAGTCTTCACAGCATCACAATTTGAAAGCATCAGTTCTTTGGCACTAAACCTTCTTTTTGGTTCACCTCTCCCATCCACACATGACTACTGGAAAATCATAGCTTTGACTATATGGACCTTTGCGGGCAAAGTGATGTCTCTGTGTTTTGCATCATAATTGTAATAAAATTGTATTAAAAATTTAAAAAATTGTAATTAAATTGTTTGAGTAGGGGAAAAGAAAATTTTAGGATCATGAACTAAAGGGCCTTTAGGATTTCAGTAAGAAGGTATTTTTAAAAAAGATATTACAGGACTTCCCTGGTGGTCCAGTGGTTATGAATCCAGCTTGCAATGCAGGAAACACGGGTTCGATCCCTGGTTGGAGAACTAAAACCCCCCATGCCTCAGACCAGCTAATAAGCCTGCTTGTCACAACTACTGAGCCACGTGCTGCAACTAAAAAGAAGCCAGCATGCAGCAACTAAGATCCAACACAACCAAATATTTTTTTAAAAGGCATTTCTTAAAAAAAAAAAAAGGTATTAGTATATAGTTGTAGAATCTAAACATCATTGGGCCCTTTCTTTTAATCACGATGCTGATATAACTGAGTCACTTTCATCATCCATGTAATAAAGCTATCCTGTTCCTTCACAGCGGCTGTCTCCTCCCCTGGTTCTGTGCTGGGAGCTGTCTCTCTGTGACACTGTGAGGCTGTCCACGCTCCATAGACATGCTTCAGTTGAACACACTAGGATTTGCAAGTTACTCGTTGGTATTACGGCGTTGTTTCGGCAGCAGATTGGTGCACGGCATCCTGGAGGGGTCAGCCCAGAAGGGGCTTCTCTCTGAGTGCCCTTGCCCTCAGCTGCAGCATCACCGGTGTGGGAAGCCTGCTCTGACCGTCCCCACCGAGTCAGTCTCTAGCTGTGCCTCTGTCCCTCACTGGACGAGGTTCCTGAAAACGGGACGGATGTTTGTGCTCCCAGGAGCCCCGCTATCCCCGGCACATGGTGGGTGCCCAGTAAATATTGAATGAAGTTTCTTTTCAAGTGAAGACTCCATCCCTTTTTCCAGGCTGGGTGTGAGAAGCGTGGTGTGTTGGGGTAACCTTAGATGAAAGCTGGGTTTTGGAGGTGTGGGATGTTAACCATTGTTATTTTAAGATTTTTTTAACAATATAAAATTTAGCTTGTGGATGGATAAAGAAGATGTGGTACATATACAATGAAATATTTACGCAGCCATAAAAAAGAATGAAGTATTGCTATTTGCAGCAATATGGATGAACCTAGAGACTGTCATACTCAGTGAAGGAAGACAGAGACAAATACTCTGTGATATCATTTACATGTGGAATCTAAAACAGTAGTACAAATGAACCTATTGACAACATAGAAATAGAGGGACAGATGTAGAAAACACTGATCACCAGGGGGTAAGGGGGGAGGGATAAATCGGGAGGTTGGGACTGACATGTGCACACTACAGTATATAATACAGGTAACTAGTAAGGACCGTTGTACAGCACAAGGAACTCTACTCAATACTCTGCGACGACCTACGTGGAAAGAAAATCAGTCACGTCCGACTCTCTGCGACCCCGTGGACTATACAGTCCATGGAATTCTCCAGGCCAGAATACTGGAGTGGATGGCCTTTCCCTTCTCCAGGGGATCTTCCCAACTCAGGGATCAAACTCAGA